CTGCTCCGTGTTAGTGTGGATGGGGGGAAAACAGAGATATCTGAAAACGGAGGCGGGGCTGCAGACATTAACCTCTCTGATTAGGGCTCTTTACTAAATATTAAGTAGCCTACTCCCAGTTCAGTCTTGTGTCTTTTCCTTGTAAGTTCAGACTTTGTAGGTTTGATATGGAAAACAAACTCTCGAGGACATGTTGGGTAAATCTTTAAAGGGAACAGTGTAGCTTATAACATCATCACATCACCCTGGCTACATACTTTCACTTTCTTAACAATAAAATGAAGACATGATATAAGAAACTGTCTATTTTCATTTTGATATTAGCAACTTAACCGACACTAAACATGTTAAGCCATCGTGTAGCTACATATTTTTATGACCGTTATCTTTACTATATGCGTATTTATAACGAAACAGAGCCTATGACATTACTGCCTCCTTTCATTTTCATTGAAAATACGAAACATACCCCATCTCTTTTGCTGAATATCAGTTTTAATCAATAATGACCATTATAAAAGTATAACGTACAATACGTTTATACATTATAGGGAATAAAAGCAACCAGTCAAATGTGCAGAATCTGTATACATTGTTACATAAATTAATATATTAACTTATCTTTGCGCTCAGCCAAAACACGTTAGAACAAGTAATAGATTCAAAAGACCAACGACAATTGAATTGTGATGTGGCTGCAGATAATTTAATATCACGTTTAACTAATGTAGTGAGATTAGATCCAGTGGTAGATCCTTGATGAACAGCCTCATGTGCACAGCTTTCATCTGGGTAGATGTCCTCAAAGCACCCACTGTCTGCCTGAAGCTCAGACGTGCTCATACTCTACAGTGAATGCCAGTGTGTGTGTGGTCACGTGATGCGTGTTTTAAGCGGTAACATGTTGTTGGAGAGTTGTTCACAAACGCTGGGTGAAACGCCAGTGTGGACTTGGATACTTTTCATTCAAAAATGCCATTTTAAAACTGAAACGTATTAGTATAAATGGGGTGTAAAGCTGGCATTACAATACTATATTTAAGCATGAAACATGACATAATAATCATTTCATAATTGTATATCCACTGTGTAAAACATGCCGGAAAAGTTAGCGGTTAATTCCGCTGTGACGACCCCAGATTAATAAAGGGACTAAGTCGAAAAGAAAATGAATGAATGTATATACATAACAAAATATTATATTATCATAATCATGCATTCTCTTTTTACTCAGAGAGCGAGAGCAAGAGATGTACGGACCCAAAAAGAGAGGCCCAAAACCTAAGACACTGCTTTTAAAGGTACGTGCTTGTAAAACAATTTGGTCAATTTTGAAGTCTGCTTCTTAATTCTGTCATTTACCCATATTCATTTCATTCTGAAATAATAAGACTCATTTCTAACAAAAAATATTTTTTATGAAACTTATGAAACGATACCAACACATAGGCTATTCAAAAAGTTAATTAAGAATGTAAGTGCAAATCGAATTGAAAATGATACATGATGGCTTTGAACAGACTAAGGTTGAAGTTTAAACATTTGTCAATGCTTTTAGATTGAGCGTGTCAAATATAGTAGATGAAATGCACATACATTGCATTAAGTATGATGGGAAACTTATTGATTCTCACAGAAGCTTAATTGTGCATACATTATGATAGAACAAAACGTACACAAAGTAACTAATGTTTTGGTTAAATTCATTGTAAATAGAGAATCAGAAACACTGATCTACATAGAGAACTGGATTGCTTATGATGTCATAAAAGTGAAGCAACTTTGTCACCAAACTAGCATTGCCTAGTATGTTTTCTAGCTTTAAACAATGTTTTATATCTGAAGTCTCCCTGCACATTCTCACAGTGCAAAGATTTTAAGCATGTAAATGCTAAGAGCCTGATATGGATGTTTCTCCGTCAGGAAATAAATCTATCTAATGCAATAAGGCTTATAGACTCCATACAGACTTGGACATGAACCTTTATTTGCGAGATGATACAAGGCAAACTGGATTTTAATATACAAGTAGGCATTTTTATTGTAATATTAATTATATTAGTGCAGAAACTGATTTGATTATAAGCATGTTAATGTTTTAGGATTTCCTGTATAATTCATGTATTATTAGAAATGTATTTTATGTTTGGTGGTCATTCCCTTTTTTGCACCAAATCTGCATCCTGTGCAATTGATACACTGGTGTTTTTAGATCCAGGTTTTAGCTGTCAGTCAATATGGCCACTAAGACACTTACAGTGACCAAAATTATAGTTATTAAAAATATCTTCAGTTTAATTAAGGGTGTATTGTTACTTATCTTGTTTGGTTAGATTGAATCAAACTAAAGATTGTTTCTCACTTTGGTCTGGATCTTTTGGCTAAATGTAAAAACACTCTAGTGCACAGCAAACAAATGAGACAAGACCCAGCTAAAGAAGTGATCTCATTCCACTTCCAAAAAAAAAACTCTGATACAGTTCATTTAAGGTGTAAATATGACTCACCCTTGATCTGACATCAATTATCATTATCAGGATCCTGTAGTTTGAATTCCATACCTGTGAGGTACCATACCTTGGTGTTGCTAAGCTTCCATCAGCCATGCTAGTCAATGAACCACCACCAAAAAACAAAGTTTTATTTATAATTAAAAGAAAAAAGCCATTGCGAATTGAAAGCCATTAAAATAAAGAGGTTGTGTGAACAATAGACTTGTTATTTGAAAGGTCCCTCAGAGCTACAATAGAGTTTGTCTGTGGAGGTTTTTCGAAAAGCGCAGCTGATAGTTGCACTACCAGCCACGAGAGTGCAAGCATTTATGTCCAATAAGCAGCTCAGTTCACACACACGCACTTTAGTTTAATTTCTGGTTTAATTTCTGGTTCACTTACAAAAATAACAGTGTGACCGCAACTGCACCAAATAAAAAACATCAACTTTGTATTTGCTCTGTGTAGAAAGAAAAAAAATAACAACACCATTTTCTGGTGTAAATGCAACCTGAAAGTATTTTTAGTTGTCTTTTGAACATTTTATGCGTTTGCATTTTGAACGTTTTATGGGTTTTCTATGGCATGACAATGAGTAAATGATGATAAAATAGTTTTGGATTAACATACCCTGTGAAAAGTCTTTAATCTTTTGCCTTTTCCCTATCATTTAGTCAAGAGCACAAGCCGAGTCCCCACGAGTACCAGAGTTCAAGCATAGTCGTCCTCAACCTCATTCCAAACCACCTCCTCCTCCACCTCCGGCTGCACCATCCTACACCCCGACTGCCCCTTCCAACGCTAAACTGCAGTCAGGCACTGCTCAGCCCAAACTGAAAAAAGACATTCACCGTTGCCATCGCATGGCACGTCGCCCCTTGCCTCGTCAGGACCACACAGTTGGTCCCTCCGGTCCTTTTTCATCCCGCCCAACAGTCAGTGCATTTTCAGAAACAGTCCGTATTCTCAACCGAAAAGTCAAACCGAGAGAAGTGAAGAAAGGACGAGTCATTCTAAACCTCAAAGTGCTTGACAAAGCTGAAAACACTGCAGTTGCTAATAACAAAAGGACACATGTGCCCTCAACCCAACAGTCCCATTTTGGACGACAGAAGATTCCATCCCGCAACAGGGTAATTGGGAAAAACAGGCGGTTTGGTGAAGTATCCTACCGAGGAATCCAGCCTCCCATTCGGGGTTCTGGATTTCCAGTTTTTGGGAAACTCTTTGATTCTCACTCTCTGAAAAATGCAGAGAGTGGAGAGAGTCGTAACAGCATGACTAACAATCTCTCTTCCTCCCAAAGTTCAAAGCTCCTAGATGTGTCCAAAGGTCAGAATCGTAATGAAGAACCTCCTCCATCGAATTCAAGCTCTGAAGTTTCGGATGGTGAACCACCTTCCCCAAGACAAACCCAATCGCAGCATTCCTCATTGCAACCCAAGGCCTCTTCAACCAAGTCCCCTTCGACTAAGGCCCCTGATCCTACCCTTCACAAACTTGGCACTCAACCAGTGGCATCAAAAAACAAAGACTCTGCTTCTTCAGCTCTTCCATCGTCACCTATGTTTTCCTCATCATCCTCTGCATCGACATCCTCTGAAGACAACGAACACATCCTAGACCTTTCCGTACCTCATGAAATGGACAGACGATTGCGGCGCCGCCATCCCTTCTCTGGCCGTCATCCGCTCAAGGTACCAGAGGTGCCCGTGTCAGAGGAGCCATCAGAGGAAGAGGAAGATTTAGACTGGCGCCCTGACATGACATCCCGGTGTGCAAATGTGGTCGTCACAGACATCACAGCTAACCTCCTTACCGTCACCATTAAAGAGTTCTGCCATCCGCCTTCTGCTTCTTCTCCTCCCTGCTACTCCAAAAATGTATCAACTCAAAACGACACACAGCAGCCAAAACAAAACCCCAACAAAACATGAGTGCAGATACAGCCTCCTGCAGCCTTCAAAAGGAATATCGGGAGGTTTGGTAGTAGTTTGTTTACAGTTTCAGCTATCTGGTGCTCATGCCAGCTTTGGTTGGGCTTGGATGTGGTCAAGCTGTCCACCCTACAACACTGTGTGCCATAACTTTTATAACCATCAGAGAATGTCTCAAAATAAGTTGTTTGGCTTTGTGTGTTTAAATCGAACACATGGATGTTTTCTAAGCATGAGCTTACTCATTAATGGCTTCAAAGATGTGCCAAGCAACTTTGCTGTATGGTATTTATTCCATATATCGTGTCTTAATAACTATTTTTACTATGTATTGTACACTACTGTACAAATGTTTGTGGTTGGTAAAGTTTCTAGACAGGACACTTGTGCACAGAGTAAACACAGGAAATAGTATACTATGAATGTACTTAATATCTGTATTAGCAAAGCTCAATTTTCAGCGTCATTAGTCTTCAATGTCCAGTTATCTTTCAGAAATTCTTTTAATATGCTATCTGGTACTCAAACATTTTGTGAAGTTTATTTATGAACTAATTTCGTGAGGATCACATGCTTATGATTGACTGCAGCTGGTCCCACATTAGCTAATGCATGATTCACCAATCGGATGATTACTAACTCATTATAAATAGTTCCTTAACTCTTTAAACCCCCCAACACCCCCCCCCCCATCCCCATCTTCGATAGGGTGGCACGGCAGCCCAGTGGTTAGTATTGTTGCCTCACAGCAAGAACATCACTGGTCCAAGTCTCTAACAGGCCAGTCGATGTTTCTGTGCAGAGTTTACAGGTTCTCCTCATGCTCACGTGGGTTTCCCCCGGGTTGCGACATAAGTGAATTGACCAAACCACATTAGCACCATAGATGAGCTCTTAATCAGCAGTATATCTCTCTGTAGCAATCCCTAATTTGTAATTAGCTATAAATAGCTGGGTAGTTCTCGAGACCTACATGAGCTCAAACTCCCCTCTCGCCCTGCAAATGGGAGAGAACCCCTGGGCTTGAGGATCTTATGAGCTCAGAGCTTTCTCCTAGGTCAGCATGCCAAACACACTTTATAATCAATCATCAGCTAAGTGTGAACTCTTGAATTACAAATAATGCTAAGCTGCATTTGTGCAACAATTTAAAACAACAGCCTTTATTTTAAAAAAGTTATACGTATAGTATCGATATAATTATCGTAGTTCCTCAAGAAATCTTGCCATCACAATTTTTGTATGGTAGTGTATATGAAGTTATATCATTTTCAAACTCAAACACCGTTCCATACATTTTTTTTATCGTTCCTATGAATGAAGTATTACATTGCATCAGTAACATTGTAGTATGCTCCAAACTACAACTGACCCTAAATCCATTTTAAAGATATTTTCATATTCCTTATTCATCAAAGTAAAAGTAAGCAGATAAGCTGCAGTTTCTGCTATGTAGAGTAAATAAAATCCAATTCACTGGTAATTTCTTAGAAATTAAAACATATGAATTGCATTAATTTTGTGTTGGCTGCAATTTTGAGCCAACTCAGCTGCTCACATCTTCAGAGTTTGGACTTGGAATTCTTTATTTTTATGGCAACAATCAATGACTCTACATAAAGGCTAAATGAATACAGCATTTACATTGTACAAGTTGAAACACTCAGAAAATTCCCAGTTGCACTAATGAAATGTTGTAATTATCATAACTGAATCCTTGTACAAGTTGTTAATCAGCATATTTTAGATTAGAATGATTAGTCTGACCCTCATCAGAGTTTTGTAATATTGTCACAGTGACTGACAACGATGAGACATTCCTAGTATTAAAAAAGATAGTTAACCCAAAATATGTAAATTTACTCACCTTGGAGTGGTTCCATACCATTATGAGTGGTTCCATACCAGTTCCCTATTTCTGTTCTGAACCAATAAATTCCATAGTAGGAAACACAAATAGTGTGAAAGACGGTGTTTATAGGTTTTTCAACATCTTTTCAAAATAAGGGATTTTGTCTTTAGCAGAAATCAAAAACTCAAACTGTTTTGCGATGAGTTTGAGTAAATAATGACATGAGGAAAATCCTTTCAAGTCACTTCTTCAATTTTTGCAAGTATTCAAACTAAATATATTGTCAAAAAAGTTAATTTTAGACCCTTGTTATTTTGGGATTTCTACTTAAGCTTTGGCATATGGCAGAATTCCTGACTCACACCTCACACAGCCTACAGTTATAATGAAGCAGAATAACAGCCATCTTATGTGGACAACTCACGCCACTGTCAAACTTGTGTGCTTTACCTCAGTTATAACTACCCTAATGTTTACTGTCTCTTTCACCAAGATTCTCGATTAATATTTACAGTAAAAAAAATAAAAGTTGCTCAGGTGAAAAAATGAAGAATATGAAGTTTTGTTGTTAAATACAGTAATGAAGCCATGAGTTTGGTCTATGTACTTTTAAGAATGCCCCTTTAAATAAGAAGAGTAATTGTTTTTAAACTAGCTCTATTAACTGAGTTGTTCAGAAAGCATTAACTGTTATTTAACGACTAGCATACTGATACTTCTCAAAGACACATTTGTTCATATAAAGCACCCCAGCAAACAATTTTGTGTTTAATAGACTTTTAAACGTAGACAGCTAGACTAGTCATCAAATAGACTTTATATGTCCAGTCATTCATTTCTGTTTATTTGATGACAAGTCTAGTTTTGGCCTTTTCTTAGACGTCTATTAGATTTTCTCTGACAGCCCAAATGTAGCCTTGTTTTAGCCAAGATGACAATGTTTAGACGTCTATTGGACATTTTTAAAACAAAAATGCTTGCTGGGATGTCTTTCACCGAAGTGCATTTCTGTAGTGAAGGATGCAAATGTTTGTCAGTCTGTTAATCTTTTGCTCCCAGTTTGAACCTAGCTACCCCTTTACTATCATCCTGCTTATTTTTTATCAGCAGGAATGGATATATCTCAGTGGCGAGAGACTCTAGTCTGTAACTTTGAATTCAGAGACCGAGTATTTGATTAGACTTTGGCGAAAGAGCCTGATGGGAGAAGCAGACTTTTGATCTAGTCGTGATGTTGTTGGAATGGTCTCTACCCTCCAGTTAGGCTTTAATGAGAGCTGAAGTTTAAACCCCGTGAGGTTCAGTCTTGATGTAAGCCAGTGTCAGATTTGAAATAATAAAAGACACAGGCGAAATAAACTAGGCTGATGAAGTGGACTGTGATGCCATTGATATGGAAACTTTTTCTGTGGCCAAAAAGCATGTTTAGGGCTTTGCTTGGTGTCGTAAAATGAGCTCATGGTTTAGTTTTGTTATTTGGTGTGCTTTGTTCTTAATTCCCAACAAGCCTTTTATATTCCCTTATTTTCAAGTTGAGACTTGCTTAATTTGCCCCAAATGAGTTGCCAAAAGCATCACTCTATTATTTATTTTGACATGTTGTTGCTATTTAAAACTGCAGTTTAGTTCTGTGTTCCTTATCAATTGAATTTTTGAACACTGTACAGTAAGGGTATCCAACTTATTAACATAAGTTAACTTCATTAGTTTACATTGTAAGCACTGTAAAAATTATATTATCAAAAAGTAATGACCACGTGTTTTTATTTTATTTTTTGTTACTTTAACTTATTTTTTAAAAGCTGATTAATTTTCAACAATATTTAAGGTTATACAAATTTGAACTTTTGTTTTTTAGTCATTTTAATTGCTGCAAGTTGAAATAACTTAATGTTAAATGTAAAGTTAATTTGATTCAACACATTTTTAGTAACAAGTTTATTACTATTACTAATGGATTATTATTATAAGCATTTGTTAATCTTCTGTCATTTTAATTGCAACATTAGGAAAAAAAGTATGATTTTATTTAAGCTGACTTAACAAACAGCTCATTTTATTAATGCTTTCAAGTTTAAACTCGCTTCACCAGCACTTCAGGACTTGTTCAATACAAGAGAGGCAAATCAATAATCTCCACCGTTAGATTCACTCTCAGTTTAGAGCATCATTCTGTTTATTCTTCGAAACCCTGACTCTCATTATTCCTCCACATCTGTCGACCATTTAAATGTCCATGAAGAGGATGTTGAAAGGAAGGACGCATTCTTTTATTGACTTGTAAAGAAGTAGATTTAGAGTTGTTTGTTTTTCACATAGATTTTTTGTTTGTTTGTTTGTTTGTTTGTTGATCTTCAAGTAGCAAATTTGAGGAATTGCAAATTCTTCAGCACTTAGAATGCATGTGTTCATGTTTGTCTTATTTAAAAAGAGCTACTCGTGCCTTTGTGCAAAAGAAGAGTTTCTGGATGTGTAAATAGTATCATGCATATAGCTGTCATGTTGGTGTGATCCCTTTAAATTGAATATATGGAGTTAATTACTTAACAAGAGGCTAAATAAAGCCAGAATAGACTTGCATTTAACTTCAACAAAGCTTTGCGTTGTTGAACTTGAGTTGCCTTGGCATAGCCAGCTTATCTTATACAGCATTTGAGCTGCATTTAAGACACATCCACCAAACCTTCAAACTATTTTCAATTTGGACATACTTGATTTCTTAGAATAATTGTATATTATTTAGACTTCCAGTGAACACGTCTAACTCTAATGCCTGTGTTTTTAAGCCCTGTCATCAAAATACCTTAGACTCGCACTCCAATACTCCAATACCTTGGCTCGCTTGACATCATTGCTTTATTTCAGACCAAAAGTAGACAAGACGTTTAGTGCTGGTTTGCTTGCATTTAAAATGGAGATTCTTCAGTAATGTTGTTTTGAGAACCAAAATGGTTGTTATAAAGTCATGTAAGATTGAACCTGAAGCTACAAAAACATGTACGATCTTTGTGATGAAAATTCCCGAATGCTGAAACTATAGCTGGGTTACATGTACCATGCTTTACCCTCTTGTGTTAAGGAGTCAAAACCCCATGTTTAGCAGTTTTGTTTGCTTGTTTGGTGCACATAAAAATTTATATGA